ATCTATCTATCTATCTATCTATCTATCTATCTATCTATCTATCTATCTATCTATCTATCTATCTATCATCATCATCTTCCCTGACCTCCAATCCCTGCAAGTACCAAGTGTCTCTCATTTTGGTCGCCCGTTGTTTCCCCCGCAAGGTGACAAGCCTGGCGCGCAGGGGGCGGAGGAGGGAGCTCCTTCCGCCACATGGTGGCGCGCGCGAGCCTGCGAGAGCCCGGGCCGCACAGCTTCTCACGCTTCTCCCGCATCCCGCCCCACCCGCGCCCGGGCGCTGGAGGAGCCGCGCCCCCGGCCTTCCCCGGCGGGATAGCGGGGAGCGCGCCTCGGGAGGCCGGGAGGCGATCTAGCGGCAGTTGCGTCCGGTCCGCGCGGGAGGTGCGGCCGGCTGTGGACGGCCCCGGCTGCAGGCTCCACCTCCTGCCGGTCCAGCCTTTACCCCTCCACCCTCCACCCCTCCTCGGCTCGGCTCGGCTCTGCAAATCGAAGGCTTCCCCAAGCAGCTTAGGAGCGGCGGCGGGCGCAGCGAAGGCGGCGGGAGGAGCGCAGCCGGCGGGCCGCGCCGAGCCCTCGGGCAGCAGCGGCGGCATCGCTCGAGCAACCCCGGAGGCGCCGCGAAGCCCGGCGCGCCCTAGCTCGCTAGGAGCGCAGTGAGGCCGGGGCTGCAGCTGGGCGAGGGGGAGGAAAGTGCGCGCGTGTGTGCGAGAGTGTGGGGGGCGACGGTCTCGAATCCGAGCGGAGGAGAGGGCAGGGGAACCGGGGCGCGGCCCCCGGGCGCCCCCGCCGCTCCCCGAGGTTTTCCCGCGGCGGCGCCCGCTCCCCGGCGCCCCTCACCATGGACGTGCGCCGAGTTGGGACGCGCCTCGGCAGCAGCGCGCGGGTAACTGCCCGGCCCTGGGGGTGCGCGGGCGCGCGCGCGGGGATGGCGAGGTAGGATGGCCGCGCAGCGCGACCCCTGCCGCCCCAACCCAGCGGCCGCCGGGCGGTGCAGCTGACTCGCCGGAGCGCACAGGGGTGTGGGCGGAGGCGGCCCCGCCGCGCCCGCGCCTTCGGGAGTCGCTTTGCCTCTTCCACCCACTCGCACCTGCCACCGCGCGGATACCATGTCGAAGGCGGCCGGAGGTACGGCGGCGGCGGCGGCGGAAAGTTGTCCCTCAGCCTCTGCCGGCCCGCCCGCCGCCACCGCCGCGGAGGACCTGTCCAAAGTGTCGGACGAGGAGCTGCTGCAGTGGAGCAAGGAGGAGCTGATCCGCAGCCTGCGGCGCGCCGAGGCCGAGAAGGTGAGCGCGATGCTGGACCACAGCAACCTCATCCGCGAGGTGAACCGCCGCCTGCAGCTGCACCTCGGCGAGATCCGCGGGCTCAAGGTGAGCGCGGGGTCGGGCGGCGAGCGGGGCGCTCCGGGGAGGTGGGGCCGGGCAAACTTTCCCTCCCTCCGGCAACAGGTGATCCTCCCCTTTCTTCCGGTCAGCACCCCCTGCTCCCCATCCCCAGCCCTTTGGAAACTTTTCCAAACTTTGGCAGTGATTGGTCTCCTCTTCCCTGTCTGGGGCGAGCCAGTGTGGAGCTCTCACTCGGGATCTTCTGTGGCCGCAGGAGAGGGCGCCGAGGATGCTGAAAAGTAGGGAGGGAGGTGATGGGCATGCAGAGCCTTTATTTTCCTAGGAAGCCTGGAAAATCGGTGGTTTGGGGAGCCGGGTCACAGGCAGGGGAAAGGGTCATCGAGGGAGCGAGTCCAGAGGATCTTCATCCTTGGGGATCGTGGATACGGGTGCTGTGGAGCCACGACTTCTCCGGCGGATGAGGAAAGGGCACCAATGCTGGGGAGAAGGGTTGGCGGGGTGCCCAGGGAGAAGTCGCGGGCGCCACCTTCGCAGCTGGTGTATGTCACCCAGTGCAGAGGAGCTTAAGCTCTGCCTTCACATTTTCTACCTGCTCCTGCGCTTTCCTTCTCTCCGGTTTAGATGGCGTCATCTGGGGTTCCTTGACCCCCTTTCCCCTTCACCCCCAATTTGATTATAATTACATCTAGCATTGAGGCGCTGGAGGGGATTTGAAAGGCACCACCCCAAGTGTCAGCCAATGATGCTTTGCTTTATGAACCAGCCCTCTCTTTGCTATTAGAAAAAAGAAAAAAAAATTAAAAAGAAAGAAAAGAAGAAAGCCAAACCCCCATCAACTTCTTTTCTCCTTGGAGAGCTCTGAGTGTGACAGCCGAGTGCCTGCTAGCGGGGCTGTAGGAGACGGGCCGGGATCCGCCCTGCCAGCGCGCACAGCACCGCAAACTTCCTCTCCTCGCTGCTTGTGCTGGTGCCTGCTGGTATTCCTTCCTCTCATTGTTCTGCTTTTGTTTATAGGAAGCCAGACACACACGAAAACACTGCAGGGACCTCAGGGAGCAAATTCCTGCAGGCACATGCTGTTCTTGTCCCCTTCCACTCCCACCCCACTTCTCGGGCTGTAGACACTTTCTTAATTGCCTCAGCCTCCAGCTCTGGGATTCTGGGGCAAAGAGATGCTCACCTGGGTGCTGGGTCCAGTGCAGGTGGAGATGGCCTTCCCCGGGGCCCCAACTCACTTGTCATCTACTTCCTAGAGTGGGTGCAGTTAGAAAGATCCCAGTCAAAAAAATCCCAAGGCTTCCACTCTCCTTTGGTTTAATTCATTACTAGTGGAGTATTTATTAAGTACCAGACTCTTGGGGAATTAGAGACAGGCTAGTGTAGTGAGAAGATCATCTCAGAGGTGGGTTCGCATCTAGAATCCTCATTCGCTAAGGAGGGTGAGCTTGGGTAATTAATTTATCAGAACCTCATTTTACTCATCAATAAAATGCAAATGATAATAACCATCTCCTAGGGGGTTGCAACAAGATATTAGGATCATGTAGGAGAAGCTTTAATGCTGGACTTGATTACAAAACAATGGTAGATATTGTCATCAGGAGAAGGCGTGTAAATGTATAGGCATGCACCTCCAGGATTGGGTTTCTTAGGCAAAGCTTAGGGTTCATAACCCTCCAATTTAATCTTCTTCCATGGTTTGAACTATAATGTAACTTGGAAGAGTTTTTAATTAAGTAATTAATCAGTTTCCTAAGGATTTTAATAGTATGGAGCATCGACATAATAATTCAGAAATACTTGAAGGTTCTCTTGGGTTGTGTGGATTGTGTGTCTGTGTGTGTGTGTGTGTTGAGGGGAGCTATGTGTGAGTGGTGGGGGAGCCTGGTCTTCTTTCTAGTAGCTTCATTTAGAGAAATACCTATTAGGTCAGCTAAGGGCAGTTTCACCCCAAGTAGGAGAATCTCCTGGGGGTCTAGATTCATGACCTGGCTTAAAAAGACTTTCCTGTCCACCTCCTTATCAAGTTCAGAAAGGTGGGGCTGGATACTTTCTGACGCAGCCTCTACTCCTCCTTTTTGTCATCCCTGGCCAGTTATAGCATCGTAGCCTCCAAGGCCTCTGGCCCACCCCTGAGGGGTTGTGGCGAAGCCCCGCTGAGCGGCCAGTCTTCCCCCTCCTGTCCATCATCTTAGCCAGAACATCCCTGGACGCCCTCGTGATCCATTAATGTGGTTGACTGAGTAAATGATATGTGCACTTACTTAGTTTGCCTTAACTAGAGGAGGATTTGGGGTTTTGTTTTCGGCTCTGATGGTTTGGGACTCCCAGTTGAGGACTGTACATTTAGGGTAATGAAGGCCACAACGCTTCTCTTGGTTTATGTTCCTTTCTGTGATCTGCTTTTGAAATGGCAAGAAATCTTTTCAAGGCTACGAGGTGATACTGCAGCTACAGAGATGGGGGATGGGAGTGCTAGGTCTTTCCGTGGAGGCGTCTGTGCCTGGGTCCCAGCACAGGCTGACTTGTCTGTGTTTAAACATTTCAGAGGTGGAGCAGTGCGGGACAGTGGAGAGAGAAAGGATGTGGAGTCTAACAATTTGGGCAGCGTGGGCAAGCTGGTAACCTCTCTGAGCCTCAGTGTTCTCATCTGCTAAATGGGGCTGCTAATTCTGTAAGAGGTTTGATGAAGATGAAATGATCCATAGATGGGGTTAAATAGCTTTCTCAATGTCACACAGATATACAATGTTTAAAATAGGCTGGCTTTCTTTTCTTTCAGCTCGTTGACATTCCCTGGCTAGAATGTGTGATCCTGCAAGGGTGCAGAAAGGGGATTCTGGTTCTGCTGTTATAAGGAGTTGGATTCTGAGAACCATGTCTGTGCACTGCTGAGCATATACCAATGCTCAGGTTGCTCCGACCTGGGATTTCAGGGGACAAGGGGCAGATTTGGGGGAACAGGATCTGTAGATTTGTTATGTATTGCATTAATGTTCCTCTCTGTCCCCCAACACACCAATCCCCCTCCCTGCAGTGAAGAAAAATTACAAATTAGAACAATTCTTTAACCACAGATAGAGTACTTGAGAATCTTATGTATGAAAATTTGAGTGGTATGCTATGAGGTGGATTGAATCTTTTAAAAGTCCACTTTAGACAGATGGATAACATCTGGTGGCCAGTGGCAATGTTAAAAGGACAGTTTGTGTTTTGAAAAAGAAAGCCCAAATCTTAATGTAGCAGATTGGAAGAAGCTGCTTTATAAAGTGATTATCCAATCGGTTGCTTAGCTGTTCCACAGACGGGAAAGGAAATCGCTCAGAATTGTATCCCCAAGAATATTATTTACTCTTGGAAGAAGGCGTGGTGATAAAGAAAGCTAAGTAGGCTGTTACCCCTTCTACCCCAACTGGAATTCTGGGCAGTATATTGTTCACTCCATTCGGAAAGGCATTAACCCCACGAAGCCCCGGGGTAGCACTGCTCCTATTTATTTCCCAGTTCTGGAGAAATCAGGAATAGCTGTGGGATAGTCAAAAGGAAGTGTTTTCAGACGGAAGTTCATTTAGATGGAGAAGAATATGACTTGAACTTTCTATGAAATGCCAGGATTAAACTAAATGTAGAATAATTTTTGAAGCTTAGAAAGATTAATTTTTTTTAGTATTATTTTCTCAGAGTCCCCACAGCTTCTGATTTCCCTTAAAGCATCAATGTCAACAGACTCCAACCTTGCAGGGGTTTACTGAGACAATAATACAAAATCCTTCCTCAGTAGCTAGAGCTGTACCCTGTTTTGGCCACGGGCCTAGGGCTTTAAAGCACTGGTCAGTCCATAAACACGTATTACATACCGTAGGCAAGGCGCCATGCTGGGCGTGTCAGCTTGTCAGCTATGCAAAGGATGACTCTAGACTTGAGTCTGCCCCCAGAAGCTAAGATACCTACACTGGAAAAGAAAAAAAAAAAATGATGCCCGATGAGTGCTCCAGCTAGTGTATCTCAGAGGCATTAAGCGGTGAGTGGGAAAGTTACTTCATTCATTCATTTGTGGTTGTCGCCACCACAGGCCAGAAGCTGTTCTAGCGCTAGGCGAGACTTCTCAGAGGCATCTCTCCTCTTAGGTAAGTTCATATAGGGAAGAGGACAGGATTTTCTAATTGGGAAGCTAGATACAATCAGGCTTCATGATTAGCTGACAAAGAGGGAGCTAAAGGTGGAAAGGCAGGAGAAAGCCTTCCTGGCTTGGCCAAAGGGTTTATTCATCTTCCTGGTAAAGGGGAGAGGATGGGGTTGATGCAGGAGAGACAGAACATTCAGGGGGTGATTTTGAAGATCAGTCTGGCCATGGAGAGCTTGACTTGGGTGGGTGAGGAAAGATAGAGGATGGGGCGGACCAAGGCAGGGACCCAGGTGGGAGGAGTTTGGAAATGGCCAGGCCTGAGGTCTGAAAGTGATAATGAGAAGGAAGAGGTGGGCATCAGAAACAAGGAAACAGAATAGTCGGGATGCCAAGAGTTAGCATTGGAGTTAAAACCACGCTGCGCAAGATCCGCTTCTTCCTCAGGATGACTCCCATCTTAGGCCTCAAGACTGTCAGGGGAAGCAAGCTGTGGTTGGCAGATGTCTTATAGTTTATTTTCTCACCAGTATCAGGCAAAGTGTTAGAATAAATCTGAGTAAACGGGGATCAAGTCTCGTCTGAGTGCCTCTAGTTCTGGGTTGGATGACCGAGTCCCAAGACTGAGGTTTTCTGGCTTTGGAAAGCAGGGGAAATCTTCGGTAGCAACCCCGTGACCGCCCCTGGTTCATCGCCACCAAACCAAGGTGCTTCAAGAAACGGTCCCTTCACTCTATGTGTGACTGGAGGATGAAGGGGGAACCTCACAATGCGTTTTCAAAGTTTCTTGGTTCAGGTGTCTACAGTGGGGGTGCTGTGTTCTGGACACACAGAGGTGGACAGAATAGATGGGGCCTCCATGCTCAGGACCAGTCTGGTGAGTTCTCATAGCCACATTCAACCATATGTGATTGTAATGAGTGCCACAGAGGGGAAATAAAAGGGGTAATGGTGGAGTGTATAAGGCAACTTCCTTTAGATAGGGGCTACTGGTCAGGGACGGCTTCTGGGGAAGTGACTTATAAAGTGAGGCCTTTAGGTTGTATAGAAGTTTAAGGGAATGCATTCCAAGTGAAAGAGGGAAAGGGCTTCTTCCTTGGGCCCTGAAATCAGGCCAGTGGTGGTGGGGCTCAGTTGGGGGTCAGGGGATAGGTCCCACCTTCTCCACTGCTACCATCTGTGCAAGCCGCTATCCTCTCCCTCTACCTGGACTAGCCTGGTGGCCTCCTCGCTGGTCTCTCCTGGCTTCCACCTTACCTCGTCTCCCTTTCTTCTATCCACCACCCCCCTCCTCTGGTCTGTTTTCTACACAGAACAATGGTGATTCTTTATAAAATGAACCTACTGTGTCACTCCTCTATCCTCAGCTCACCAACAATCCAGAGTCCTTCCCGTGGCTGCCAAGGCGCAGCATTACCCAGCCCCGACACCCACCCTCTTGGGTCTCATCTCTCCCACCTCCTCTCCCAGCTCTGCGCTCGGTGCTCACTGTGCTTCAGGCGCACTGGCCTCGCTGCGACATCAGTCATATTCGTCTCAGGGCAAGTACTTGCCCTGCTGCCTGCCTGGGATCCTCTTCCCTCAGATGTTTGCTCCTTCATTTCACCCAGGTCTTTGCTCAAACGTTTTCCTTCTCAGTGAGGTACCTTCTCTTAAAAAATAGTATTTTTTAGCCTACTTTAGTTTTCTTCCCAGCACTTTTCACGACGTGGCATTGTGCTCTTTACTTACCTTTTGCCAGTTTTTCCCGCCAGAATGAAAGCCGTAGGATGTGAAGGTGTTTGCTGTGTCCACTGATACATCCCTAGCACCTGGACTGGTACCTGGCACATAATAGATGCTTACTAAATACTTGTGAATGAGTGAGTGGACCACCACTCATGTGGGAGAAATAGGCCAGGTTAAGAGGCTTGGGGGTCTTGGGAGACTTGAAGGATTTTGCACTTTATCCTAAGGACAGTGAGATGCTGCCACGCATGGGAATGGGTTCAGAAGAACTGTTTAGTTCAGAAGTGAAAGGTGAGGGAGAAGGAGACGCCAGGCATAAGCACAGGCCCTTAGGGAGAGCAGCAGGATGGGTGGAGGCAGAATTTGCTGAGAGGGGCAGTTTGAGGAGGGGGCTTTGAAAATCCCACAAGAGCTTGGCATTGCTCAAGTTTTCGTGTGGGATGCCTTGGAGATGCGCTGGGGGTTCAGCCAGTGGGGCTTAGATGCGCGGGTCAGAAATGCGGCTAGAGGGCAATTGTGCTGGTCCCCTGTGGGAACCGGGCTGCTAGTCCCGTGTCAAGGGCCGAACACCGGGCAGTGCTTATGTTTGTGCTGATGGAAGGCGTGTTGCCTCAGAGCTTTTAAGCATTTCTCAGGTCCCAAGCAGCCATTTTCTTCCCGGAAGGTGGGGCAGGGGATCCTTGGATTTTTAGTGGTTTCTTGTGAATTAACTGGCTGCTCCCTAGATACTGGCCGGATGGCCTTGGGCAAGTAAAGCTTTGTGAGGTCCAGCCCCCGCCCCCCCAAGAACCATGAAAATCATTATCCTCCAAGTGTTTTGTGAAAATTCGATGAGATCATACAAGTAAGCACTGGGCAGGGAGCATAACCAATACCCGTTATTGTTATTTTTATGACAATCCTCAGCTTCCTCTCAGCTTCTCCCCTCCTCCCCTAATATCACAGAGAATTCACCAAGTCCCGCCTCCCCCCCAGGAGGTCTGAGCCTGAGGATGCCTCAACTGTGTACCTCCCTTGAATGGTTGTCTCTCTCTCTCTTTTCAGGATATCAACCAGAAACTCCAGGAGGACAACCAGGAGCTGAGGGACCTCTGCTGTTTCCTGGATGATGACCGGCAGAAAGGCAAGAGGGTGTCCCGCGAGTGGCAGAGACTGGGCCGCTACACGGCTGGGGTGATGCACAAGGAAGTGGCCTTATACCTGCAGAAGCTGAAGGAGCTGGAGGTGAAGCAGGAGGAGGTGGTGAAGGAGAACATGGAGCTCAAGGAGCTCTGCGTGCTGCTCGACGAGGAGAAGGGCGCAGGCTGCGCGGGCAGCCGCTGCTCCATCGACAGCCAGGCCAGCCTGTGCCAGCTCGCCGCCTCCACGGCGCCCTACGTGCGGGACGTGGGCGACGGCAGCAGCACCTCCAGCACGGGCAGCACCGACAGCCCCGACCACCACAAGCACCACGCGAGCAGTGGCAGCCCGGAGCACCTGCAGAAGCCCCGGGCCGAGGGCAGCCCGGAGCACGCCAAGCACCGGAGCACCAGCCCCGAGCATCTACAGAAACCCAGAGCCTCCGGGACCCCGGATCACCCAAAAGCACTCAAAGGACCCAGCCCCGAGCACCACAAACCCTCGTGCAAGGGCAGCCCCGAGCAGCAAAGGCACCCGCACCCCGGGAGCAGCCCCGAGACGCTGCCCAAGCACGTGCTGAGCGGGAGCCCGGAACACTTGCAGAAGCACAGGCCCGGGGGCAGCCCTGAACACGCCAGGCACAGCGGAGGGAGCCCCGAGCATCTCCAGAAACACGCCCTCGGTGGGAGCCTGGAGCATCTACCCAGAGCCAGGGGCACCAGCCCTGAGCACCTCAAACAACATTTCGGGGGGAGCCCCGATCACAAACATGTGGGCGGAGGAGGCGGAGGCAGCGGCGGAGGCAGCCGGGAGGGTACCCTCCGAAGGCAGGCGCCCGAGGACGTGTCACCCCATCACCGGAGTGTCTACAGTGGCATGAACGGTGGGTCAGTACGTGCTGGGGAGCCGTTTTGGCTGGGGCGACTCGCTAGAGAGTTCTGAACCGTGGAGGGCTTCCCAGCCACCCGAGGAAGTGCAGGCGCTGCCGGATGGGGGGGCGGGTGGGTTGGGGAGAGGAGCAACCGTGTGCTTCCGAGGCTCCGTGTGTTTCTTCCCCTGGATTTGTCTTAGTTTGTACGGTTCGCAGTCAAGTAAGCCTGGCGAAGACAGGGGATAAGCAGTTAGGGGAAGGAGAGGAACAAGAATTCCGCGGGACTCTGAGTGGTCAGGGTGAGATGTGTGGGGATTGAAGATAAAAAGAGAACCAAGCTAAGGATTTCCAGTCTTGAACTTGAGTATTTTCCTAGTTGTGTGCGGTGTCCTATTGGGGTTCTTAGCCAACGGCTGACCAAAAAAAGGTTTTTGAATCCAGTTAACAGCTTATGTGCATAAAGAAATGAATATTTATTATGAAAAACGGTAACATTGGAAAAGAAATATGGTGTCCCTTCACAGGCTCGATGCCGTGTTCCCTGAATGCCTGTAGATACGCCTTACTTTACCTCGGGGATTTTGTCCTCAGTCGGGGGACTTCCCTTTGTGGGAGAAACACATCAAATGATTTCCTTCCATACTCTCAAAACCCACCACCCTCTCCCAGACTGCCTTAAACATACTTTGAATAGCATGCTTTTTTTACACTGTGAGACAGCTTCCCCGGTTGTTTAAATGTTCCTCTTGAAAATGTACAGATGTATTTGGACTCTCCTTTGGTTTCCAAAGGGTAATATCCGCTGCATTTGCTGAGATCGCTCTAAACCAGACCCTAAACCTTTCGGAAGGGGTTGAATTTCCTGCATCTTGGTCCTAAAACCACTTGAACTCCAGAGAGGGGGAAAAAAATCATTTCTTAAAACAAACAAACAAAACCCCCTCCCAACCCCTTCATGTTACTTAGAGTTGAGTTAGAACTAAAACATTTGGTTTTATAAACTGTGGGGTTTTTCATCCAACATACCTGAGCTTTTCCGCTTTATTTGAAAGCTGCCACAGAGTCTGTGTGCAGTTAAGCTCTGAGCAGTGGTGGAGGCAGCCAGTGTGAGCAGTGAGTGACATGAAGGGGTAAATTTTCAGTATTGTACCTGGGGATTTTTACCTGTTGGATCCCATTTCATCCTAATCCTTTTCTCCTAGTGCTGCAAATTGACTCCTGAAGCTTGGCTTCTAACGCATCCTGTGCTCTTTTATGTGCAGATGAAATTGGAAAGGGTGGGGAAGATGCTGCTCCTTTCTGGTTTGGGCTGGGAAGTGGAAGGTGGGAGAAGCCAAGTCACCAGTGAGCTGAGGCCTCCCGGCTGGCTAGCTGCCTGGCTGGGGCCTTTACTAAGTTAATAGCACCCTCACTCACTCTTCCCAGGACTGGCCCAGAAGCTGCCCTGATTGCTGTGGGCGGCCTTGGCTGTGTACTTCTCACAAGAGATGAAAGTCATTTAAAAAGTCATTTTAGTTGTGTTACCACAGATGACGTGAGCTGCTAGCCACGAAGCTTGTCTTCAGGGAGTAATGGGTTAATGGGAAAGCTCAAGTTAATGACTTTTCCATTTCTCAGTTACTTTTTAATGAGCATGAGAAGTAAGTATGTTTACTATTTTAGGGAAAACTTGTATCTGGAACCAAAAAAAAAAAAAATTACTTAGGGGCCAGGTAGTGTACATACAAAACAATTTTTTTTCTTTCCCAAAGTGCTCTTTTAAATAAAGAACTCCTCTAGTTTAATCAAGGCATGATTTAACTCACAAGAAAAGATTTCAAATGCAATTTTTCAGCAATACCTTGCATAAAGTAAGGTATGTTTCTAGATGAGGATGACATTACATCATGACTTATTATTGCCTGGATTCAGATAGATTTCATGATCTGGCAAATGATTTTTAAAATTTAACCATTTTATTTAATTAAGAGTTTGGTGTAACATAGATGCATTATTTAGAATGACACTGTATTTAATTCTTACATTTACATCAGGTTTTCTCATTCTTAAGTGACAAATCTTCTGGAAGTTGATATCCTCACCAAAGTATATTTGTAGTGCATTTGCATTGCATTTTTATTTCAGTAATTGATTGGAAAATGAAGTGGCACAATGAGGTGTTTATGGATCATCAGCCTATAAATTTGGGCCTGTGTGTATCCTGCCGTTGCAAATTAATTTTTGATATGGATGGTAAGACATGACTTTTCATATTTTTAATCCCCCCACACTCTGGTTGAATCATTGGCCTAGAAACAAGTAGAAACTGGTAGCGAGCTAAATCCCAAATTGCACATTTGCTGAGTCATGTACAGAGTCATTCTGTTTGGAGTTTGTGTGAAATAATGAGTGATTTGGATGAGCACTTGCAGGGTTTTGAGTGAAGAAAAAGTAGATGAAAGCGGGTGGAAGTGTGTCTGCATTGTGGCAGAATGAAACCGAAAACAAGCACGTATTGGGACAATATGGTCTTACTTATAACGTTCCCTCCAAAAAGACACACATATGCGCCCTGAAGGAACATCAGTGAAAACAATTACTGTTTTAGTTGACTGTGCCTTGGACGTCTTTAAATCTTGTTACAAACTCAGTAGAGGAAACAGTTGATGAACTGGGTATCCAAGAGTTTTCTTTGGTTAAAACAGCTTAATTTCCAACTGGGTATAAGGGTGAATTGGGGGCATTTTTCCTTTCTTTAAAATAGCTAAGACTATATAGCCATGTTTAAATTAGTAGCTGATTGAAAAACAACAAAAGCGAAGACAAAACAGAAAAAAACCCTCCAACTTGAGTAATGTGCTCACGAGTGCATTTGCTTTTTTAGAAGTTATGATTCAACTGTTTTTCAATTTGCAGAGAATACCATGTGTTTAACATGGTTACATCTAGACGTTAAGGCATTTGTCTGTTCGTTCAAGTCACTGCTGTGTACCAGATTTGTAAATTAAGTACTTGATTAGCTCCTTTTATCTAGACATGCACCCAAATAGATAGCCTCCTGGAGAATGGGGGATTCGCTTCCCTGATCCCATTGAAATCCAAGGTTGGGTCAAACTTTCTTAGGTGAAAGTGTTCCCTCCCACAGTGAAACCAAGGCGTTTTGCTTCCAGATATCGACTGGCAGATCTGTGCTTTTTAACAGGTAGCTTTTTAGCCCAGGTCACGGGCGTTGTGGACTCAGGTCCTTCCAGCAATAGCTGTTTGTTGTTGACCTTCCAGGCAAAGATGATTCTGATGATCAGGAGCCCACATGAGTGGTTCACCCATTGGGCATTGTGAATCTAGTTGAAAAAGTCATAAAAGTAGTTTTATTTTAATTCTAGGGGCACATATTGCTGGTTATCAGCAACTGAGAAGGAATGATGAGAAGAAACATTACTCTGTTGTTTATCGTCCTTCTAAGAAAAATTGCTTAGCTATCCTGGTGGGTCTCGTTTACTTTATGGACTTAGAACATGTTCCAGTGACCAGTAGCTTCACGCTCTCCTTCATCATCACGCTAGCCAGTGAGAGCACCCATGAGGAAACTCTTCATTTGTGTCACACTGGCTCCATGTAGAATTACATCTGGCCTTGTGGATGGAGTGTCAGGGTTGTGAGTGTTCACCTCCCTCCTGAAAGCTTCTTAGTGCTTCCTTCCTTCTTTTGTGAGGGGATCTCCAGAGACATAGCAGGTTGTGTCTCCCCCCAGTTCTTTCTCTAGAGCAGGGCTTCTCAACAATGGCACCACTCACATTGGGATCAGATAATTCTTTGTTGTAATGGGTTGACTTACGCATTTTAAGAGGTTTAGCAGCATACTGGGCTCTCGCCACGAGCAACCCCCAATTGTGACAATGAAAGATGTCTTCAGACGTTGCCAAATGGTCCCAGGGGGTAGGGAATGGGTAAAATTGCCCCTGATTCAAAACCACTGCTTCAGAGAGAGCAGTGTTTTTCAACCTGGCTGCAGATTAAAATCACCGTGGTAGCTTTGAATAATCACCAGTGCTCGGGCCCACGTGCAGATGCATATTGAATTGGTCTGGCCCTGAGTACGTTGCAAAAGGAGGTCCGCAGGTGATTCTAAAGATCAGACCAGGTGAAAACCATTGCCCTAGGTGAGTGCGTGTTCTATAAGACGGGTTGACGTGCGTGAAGTGGTGAGGAATGCGAGCTTCTTGGGAAGAAGAAAGTTAACATCTTTCCTTCTTTTGTCGAATTCCGAGCCTGAGAAGGACTGACCCCAGCAGGTATTGTGAAGATTCATCCCTCATCCCCAGACCAAGGTTCTCAGATAACACCTTTGTTGTATGGGTTGAAAATTTGAGTTTTTGGGGGATGGGATTTTTAGGTTAACTTGGGGAAACTCTGGCATATGAGTAGTTCAGGGCTACTTTTTAAAGCCTTCACGTCCAGACTGACAGGGAAGCACATGAATTTCCAACCCATTTATAGCAGATGCTGATGGCGCATGTAGATCGTGTAACGCCTGCAGTGCTAATGAATATTTCCCACCAAGGATACTGTATTTCACATCGCCCAGCTCATAAGTTTTACTCTGAATTTTCAGATTTCTTCTTATTCTCTGTTGAGGTTATTAATAAGCGAACGAAAAACGCTGGTAACACAAAATGATCTTATCTACGAGGGGCAAGATAACCTGTGTGTGGAAGAGCCCAGCAGGAATTCTCTGAAGCAGGGTTGTCTGTAAATTAAGTAGTGGGGCACTATAGTGTGAGTAATTGCTCTCATAAATCTTTTATTTTGCTTAGAAAAAGTCAGAATATCCTTTATGAATGAATTTTGACAATAGAAATTAAATGTCTCTTGGGAGAAAAATTTGAACAGTTACAGAATACCAGAACTGATTTAAACTGAGGATCTCAGAGTGTTGTTTTCTATTGTGTGAACTGACGTGTGGGTGGTTAAAGAAGTAGATGATGTTTTTTGATCTTTAAGCTTCAGTATGGTAATTTGGTAGCCTCATACACACTTCGATAGGACATCAGTTTAAGAAGTTCTGAAAAATAGAAGCAATTATCGTACTATACTTGTGTGTGCAAAGCATAGTGCATTTTTCATG